CGGCCGCGCTGAGATGAAGTCCCAAACCGCCATGTCGCCATCACCGCCATCACCATTGCTGCAGCTGTTCCCAACCGCCTCAATCGCCGCCGTTTTGCCAGCAGTCGCGCCGCGGAATGGCAGAAGCTCCAGAGTAGCCTCCAGCGCCCCTCTCCGCACGTGTGCAGGTGCACTGCGGCCGCCGGGTCCGACGTCCAGGCAGAACATGATATTTCCATGCTGCTCCGACGGTGGGCTGGTCTTGTTTGGGCGTTCCTCCACTGTGACGTCGGTCACGCCTGCCCCGGCCAGGGCGCAGAGGCCGACGTGTCACCATCCGGTTGCAGTCCTCAGTCGGGTCGCAACGTGTACCTCTTCCGCAGCGTGGAGCGCGCTCCCGCTGGGCAGCGATACAGCCAAAAGTAGCATAGCATGCGGGCGGCCAGCGCTGCGCCGGACAGCGGACCCATGCCGGGGGTATGCCGGTCTCGGCCATTAGCGGGGTCGTCGGGGCCGAGGCTGTACATACAGCTGGTGACCGCGTGAGCCGCCAATCGAAGCTCACGGCTTATAAGCTCGACGCGGGCATCACACGCCGTCCCGATGGGAGCTCCACGACGCCGCCGCGAACTCCAGCGCGGCTCGCAGCGCGAAGACCAGTACGGACGGCCGGGGCAAACGGCGTGCGGGAGTCGCAGGCGACGTTCTGCGGACAGAAAGGGTTGGGCATAAGCTGGTTGGCAGGACACTCTTGAGCCGAGCCTTTGATGTAATTACAGATGATCCAGAAGCATGCACAAAAATTCATGACACACTATTCTCATTTATGTATTTGCTACATATGATATGATATACCAGCTCATGATCAGTGACGCATTCTGGGCAATATGTTCTAAAGTGAAGTAACTGAAGTTACAGCTTAAAAGCTTAAAAAAACACACACACACATTCGATAGCTTATGAGAATAACATGCCTTGTGTGCTTAATGCAGGAAAATATTTTTTTTCACTTTTTTAGAAACAGCAAAAGAGTTGTCAACAAGCCATGTCAACTATCTAAACAATTTTTATGGAAACTGCTCTAGCTAGCTTAAAGTTCCACAACGTTTCCGGAGCACCGTACCCAAACTCAGTTCATGTTACAAGAAAAAACAGTAGGGGAGAGTGGGGAAAGATGCCCAGGGTTTTGCCATGTCATATATTATTCGAAAATGACGATGGGAAAGCAAAAACTTGGAGTTTCAACGGAAGCCGACATCATTTTTCTCCAAAAATATCACACTTTCGTGCCTGAAATATTATAACTTTTTTTGCTATTAAACATTTTCCTAAAGAAGTGAAAGGGGGCATCTTACCCCACAGGGTGGGAAAGACGCCCCCTGACGTTGGGAAAGATGCCCCCTGCACTATAAGTGACATTAATGGGCACGTGAATCGCCTGAACGAATCAGTAGTCCCTTCGAGCCTGCAGTAGACACCAAACGTCATCATAAGGGCCCTCAAAAGTAGTCGTAGGGGGCTTCAGAGGTCATCGTTAGGGCCATCATAGTCCAGCGCGGCCAAACAAGCCTCCGTGGTGGCGTTCGGAGACCACTGTGAGGCTCTTAATAGGTCTTCATGATGCTTGAGGGCCCTCGAGCCCATCGTGGGTACCTCCGATGCCAGCGCGGCCCGTGGGGCCAACGTGGGAGCCCTCAAAGGATGTCATGAGGGGCCCTGGAGCCAATAATGGGGCCCACAGAGGCCGTCGTGAGGGCTCTCAGAGTCAGATGCCGCCCAAAAAGTCGCTATGTGGGCCGAGAGACCGGCATGGGGAGCACCCGACCGTACTGGACTCTCAATAGTCCCAGATCTGCTTTTGTCTACATTACAAGCATGTAATAAATGATTTGACGGGCTGTTTGAAGGACAGCCTACGGATTTAGGGGGGCGTCTTTCCCCATCAGGACAGGGGGCATCTTACCCCAAGGTACCGAAGTAACATTAAATCAGTACAATTTGTTAGCCATAAAACTACACCCTGAAACAAACTGTTTGGGACACAGTACACGCATGCTAATGTATCACGACTATAGCAAGGGACGCAAAAATTATTTACCTTCTTTGATATTTACAATGTTCTGACACCAAAATATTTTTTGAAAGCAGCAAATAAAAAACATGCAATCATCAGCCAGCCGTTGCCCAACTGAGCTTCGCAATTTTTTGTGCAATTAACAAGGCAGGCTTCCGCTTTACGCTAAGAACATTAATTTCCAGGTTCGATTCTTTGTTTCGCCGCTAGAGGGGGTGGGGCGTCTTTCCCACCCTGGGCATCTTACCCCACTCTCCCCTAATAATGCCTCCTAATTTTGAATGAAATATAGGTATGAGTAATTTGATTTGGAAAGCAACAAATTTCCGCATATCATTTTGGCAAAATTACTATTTTCTTCAGCCATCAGGTTACACAAAACTATAGTAAACTTTATGATCTAGTTTACACAAAACCAAAGCCCCGATTTTAACAAATGTAGATAAAATTTAAACAATTTTAAAAATTGTATCGTGGAGAAAATGAAAAGTGTAGATTTGTAAAGCCGGGATATTTCAATTTCACGGATTAGGCACTTAAAGAAATATCTTCACCTTTCTTTGAGCCACCAGCCTTCACCCAAGTTTTACACGAATGTAGTGAGTTTTACACGAATGTAGTGAAGCAGACAATGTGGCAACTCAAAATTGTGATGGTTTGAGATAATTATGACGGTAAAAGAAAAAGTAACACAAGGTTCCTTACCCTCGTTTTTTTCACATGGGTTCAGATGAGGCTTCAACTGTTGCCGACCTGAGGAGCTATAGGAACTTGAGCTTTCCAAAACTCAATTTCTAAGGGCACTGAGCAGTGTTTGGCTTTCACACGAATGCGATAGTAAGTTATATGAAGTTGACAAAGCAAGCAAAGCAAAGCATGATGCCCCGCGCGTCCGCCCGCGACGCGACCACGCCCCGCGTCCGACTCCCGACCGCCGCGTGACCCGAGGCGCCCGGCGGTCACGTGACCTACCGGCCGGGACTGCAAACGGCCCTCACCACCATTCTTGTATGACGTCATATCCTACTGAGGTGCTGATTGGTCGGAATTAGATACCTGAAGGTAATTATCTGCCGTAGTTATTTTTGTTTCATTGTTTTGCGTGTTTTCTTATATGAAATGTAATTAAAAAATTTGTCATATTTTAATCACCATTAAAACATAACTGAATAGGTATAAAAGAGAACTCGATATATACTTTCCTTGTTTTTAAGAATTCCGGAATTAGATACCCGAGGGAGCAAAGAGGGAGCAAGTTGCCACGCTGATTTAATACCTCATAGTCGAAAGGTGGGCTACTAGAACCAAAAATTGCTGTGTTTGTAAATAAATAAGTGATTTGAGGGCAAAAAATGCCCGGATTTAAACTTCTAAAATTATTTTGAACATAAAATATTTCAGTTTGAGGGATGTTAAGGCCTCTAAGGGTAGGTACTTTTTAGGTATCAAATAAGTTCCTCTGCGAAAGTTCCGTCGTGAAAACGGCCACTACAGATCTATACAATCCCGTCAGAGGGGCTCTTTACACCGCTGTGCGCTTTGCGAGACATTCAGTCACATGACCAGTCCCACCAGTCACTCAGGCAGTCACTCGGCCAGTCGAGTGTCGGCTAGTCGCATGACTGTTCAGTCATGCCTCACGACACGCTGTCACGTTACGTTACGCTTCGCCACGGCATATTACTCCGCGTCACGAAACATTGATCCGAAACGGCCCAGCCCACAAGCAGAGCTAGTTATTCTTTGTTGTAGTGTCCTACCCCATTTCGCTTGGTTCTAAGTGGCGGTCCGCAAGCTTAACCCGCACCCCGACGGGGGGGGGGGGCGGATATCCGCCCCCCTGAGGTTTTTCGCGAATAGCGGGAAAACCGCCGCGAAATTTGGTACGACTATTCTCTCATCAATTTTACACATGGTGTGCAAGTTTGAACCTCCTAACTTTTAAGGTCAGGTCACCACTCACCAGGTCACTTTGAATGACCCAACCTCAAGTCACTTTTTTGCCACTGTCACCATGCCAGAGCTACAGTAGATGTCGGAGGCCTTTGAAAGTCGCAGGATGTTATAAAGTCATTAGTAGCTACAATTTGTTAATCTCTGAATATTGATATCGATGACCTAAGGTCAGGTCAATTTCTCGACCTCCCCATTATAAGTCAATGGGGGAAAAATCAACTCCCTGTTTTTACCACTAAAACGGGTCGGAAGGGCCCCATAAACCATACATGACCTCATATACGATCAACCTTCACTACCTTGAGGTCTGTTTTGCTGTTGGGCAGCTGTAAGGTCATGTGACGTCATCAAAGGTCACCAAAGGTTTTTTGCCAATAACTCCGTACAAGAACAAGATACAGCCGCGCGGATGGTCTCATTGTGTTCAGCTCGTCAAAGCGCATCGAATGATATACATGATGACCTCTAGGTCACGTGACCTGAGGTCAACTTTTGACCTTGACCTTTCGAGGTCAACATATATATCATTTTGATGTGGATTGACGAGAGGATCACGATGCTGCCCTTGGGTTGTTCCTATCTTGACTAGTTCGAAAGTTATTCGAGAAAAACTCCATATCTAGCGCCGCCATTTTGACTTTTTTGACAACTGTGACGTCATCTTTGACCTGACCTGAAAATGACCCAGTAAAAATTGTAGACCTTGTCCGTGCGTATCCCATGCCGTTTACCGCTTGTCGCTATCTTGCTTCGTTCTCGAGATCTCAGGGGGGGGGGGGGGTCATCCGCCCCCCGTCGGTTCTAAGTTGGCGCAGACCCCCATCGGTGCGCGGGTTAAATGTTCTCGCGTGGTTCGGAAGGCCTAGAGCATATGGTAGTCCATATGAGTACAGCCGAGCAATTAATGCCAATTTTAAGCAGGAACTCTTATCGGGAATAAGATTTTAGCACGATGTTAATAATGAATATCGTGAAACTTACACCACATGTATCGCAATGATAATGTATAATTGTTCAAGATCTCAGTCACAACGCGGCCCAGTACGAAGGTACACAATGCATCTCTATCCCAATCTTAATCCGTGACCCTGACCTAGGCACTACAACCTTGACCGTCAGCAAAAACCACATTTACCGACCTGTCTCATTCCACTTAAAAACCTAGAGCATGGTTTGCCTCATCGCTTGTAAGACATCCCAAAGGCCGTTTTCTCCATGTTGGGCCCTATCATTCGCAAAAGACATGCATCGGAAAGGCGCTCCACCACCAGTTTGTCTAGCATGCTGTTCTATTCTGATCATCGTCAGCCACTACGCGACCGATAACAGGAGATAAGCCACTCACAGATCGAGGTTCTGATAGCTAGTGGCTCAAACAGTGGAACGTGCGCGATGTTGTCAAGGTCAGAACAGACGCAATGACGACAGAAGGCCAGAGGACCGGCGCTCAGTTCGTGTTTTATCTCATAATACTCTCTGCGGTGTTTTTGAAGAACTTCGTGTGGTATTTAAACACACACCGTGAAGTGTACTGCAGAGCACTGGATAGGTACAGCTGGCATTACACCACTTATTTCGCCTACACCGTAGCATGCGACTCCGCGTGAACGCGCACGATTCTTAGGTCGTCTGCCCATCATGAATGAAGCCACCACCGAAGATATGTCGAGAGAACTCGCTCGCTCTTGCATTCCAAGCCGCAAGGCTCACACCATCAGAACACGAGTCTAAATTCTTCAAAAACACAACCATGACACACGTACAACACGATCAATATCTGCATAATCGCCGTTGACCACCGCATCAACGGAAATCAGTTCATCTGGGCATGTCAGCCCGAAAAGTTCTGTCCACTGCTCGTCACTACCAAGCGGCAGAGGTGGCATGCCCTCCCCCGAAGAGGCACTCTAGGAGAGGCCTTCTAGAAAAAGGCTTCCTCCTGAAGAGGTTTCCACTCGAAGAGCTGGCTCTCTGAAAGAGGATCTCCGCGAAGAGGCTTCCTCTTTTCAAGAGTTTCTCTTTTGGAGAGGCTTTCTCTGTCTAATAGGCTCCCTCACAGGCTCTTTAAAAGTCTTCTCTCGCAGAGGCTCTTTAAAAGAGGTTCCCCCTCTAACAGAAGCTCTCTGGAAGAGGTTCCTCTCTCGCAGAGGCTCTTTAGGGCGGGCAGCGGCACGCGCAGCACGATGGGAACAGGAACCAATCGATGAAGATGCCTTTGCAGTCATTGTCCGGATCATACGATAGCAGCCGGTGGTAGGTGTATTTCTGCTCACAGAGACAGTTTCCCGTGCATCGACTGGTGGTGGTGCCCCTGCGGAAGAGAAGGACGTCGTTATTGTTGTTACATCGAGTTATAATGATGATGCCAGGTATCCGATGCGGTCGTAAAGAAACCAAATAACAAATAGCGTTATGTTACGTGTCGGCCATATAAGACCCCAGTGACTTAAAGGGACTATCCCACCTTTAACATGGCGTTTGAGTTGAGATAGCCAAGTTTGCGGCGAGGTTCAGAAACCACTATCTATCTAGGTTGCAACCCCCGCGACCTCTTGGTGTTGAAGAAATTCGTTCCCTTCATTTGAAAATGGGCCTTGTACAAGGCCCTATCTTCAACATGGAGCGACCGTTAGTGTGACGTCACCTCGTTTAGTCATTCTGATTTAAATGGGTTTGTTCGTTGAAAAATCGCTTAAAACTTGGTCTGAACTTTGTTGTGGTGCCTACAGAGTAAAAAGAATCAGCTTTATGACAGTAATGTGGCCTGGGGAAGGAGGTAATTTTGGGCTGTGACGTCACATATTTGAAAGTTTGTGTTTGGAATATGGGAAGCCTAAGATGTTTAATGAAAAATAAATGCCAGAACCGTGTTCCTGGTCATCCAATCTATAAAGTCGGGCACAATTTAACTGGTTTTAACAACATTTTAGAAGGTGGGATAGTCCCTTTAATTTCCTTTATGGTCTCCTACAAAAGGACTAGCGGCCACAACCGTAATGCATATCATAACTTCTGGAAAATGTATTCCAAAATTAAGTAGCTCGCATTGCAGGTACATAAAAATCTATCAGTGAATGCGCATCTGCCATCGAATAACTCACATGCAGATCTCTGAATACCTAAAGGAGCTATCAGAAATGACGTCACATAAGTGCTGATTTCTGGATGCCTAAAAAGATCAGTCACAACTCACAAATGAAGTCGCTTACTTGCAGGTCCCTGGATAGCTAACATATTTACCCCAAATGACGTCACTTACTTGCAGATCTCCTGATGGATGGCCTGCGGGAAGTGTTTGGTGTTCACAATGGCTCGTATTTCCCCAGCCGAGTTGGCAGCCCAATATGGCGTCACGATCTCCACCTTCGATTCGCAGCTGTCCACACTGTAGATAGAACACAGAGGGTTAGTTCGTGGACGGGATTAGACATTAGACACTGACAATTGACGACAGAAAACAGAGGGTTAGTTCGTGGACGGGATTAGACATTAGACACTGACAATTGACGACAGAAAACAGAGGGTTAGTTCGTGGACGGGATTAGACATTAGACACTGACAATTGACGACAGAAAACAGAGGGTTAGTTCGTGGACGGGATTAGACATTAGACACTGACAATTGACGACAGAAAACAGAGGGTTAGTTCGTGGACGGGATTAGACATTAGACACTGACAATTGACGACAGAAAACAGAGGGTTAGTTCGTGGACGGGATTAGACATTAGACACTGACAATTGACGACAGAAAACAGAGGGTTAGTTTGTGGACGGGATTAGACATTAGACACTGACAATTGACGACAGAAAACAGAGGGTTAGTTTGTGGACGGGATTAGACATTAGACACTGACAATTGACGACAGAAAACAGAGGGTTAGTTTGTGGACGGGATTAGACATTAGACACTGACAATTGACGACAGAAAACAGAGGGTTAGTTCGTGGAAGGGATTAGACATTAGACACTGACAATTGACGACAGAAAACAGAGGGTTAGTTCGTGGACGGGATTAGACATTAGACACTGACAATTGACGACAGAAAACAGAGGGTTAGTTCGTGGACGGGATTAGACATTAGACACTGACAATTGACGACAGAAAACAGAGGGTTAGTTCGTGGACGGGATTAGACATTAGACACTGACAATTGACGACAGAAAACAGAGAGTTAGTTTGTGGACGGGATTAGACATTAGACACTGACAATTGACGACAGAAAACAGAGGGTTAGTTTGTGGACGGGATTAGACATTAGACACTGACAATTGACGACAGAAAACAGAGGGTTAGTTTGTGGACGGGATTAGACATTAGACACTGACAATTGACGACAGAAAACAGAGGGTTAGTTTGTGGACGGGATTAGACATTAGACACTGACAATTGACGACAGAAAACAGAGGGTTAGTTTGTGGACGGGATTAGACATTAGACACTGACAATTGACGACAGAAAACAGAGGGTTAGTTCGTGGACGGGATTAGACATTAGACACTGACAATTGACGACAGAAAACAGAGGGTTAGTTCGTGGACGGGATAAGATAGATACTGACAATTGACGACAGAAAACAGAGGGTTAGTTCGTGGACGGGATAAGACATTAGACACTGACAATTGACGACAGAAAACAGAGGGTTAGTTTGTGGACGGGATTAGACATTAGACACTGACAATTGACGACAGAAAACAGAGGGTTAGTTTGTGGACGGGATTAGACATTAGACACTGACAATTGACGACAGAAAACAGAGGGTTAGTTTGTGGACGGGATTAGACATTAGATACTGACAATTGACGACAGAAAACAGAGGGTTAGTTCGTGGACGGGATTAGACATTAGACACTGACAATTGACGACAGAAAACAGAGGGTTAGTTCGTGGACGGGATTAGACATTAGACACTGACAATTGACGACAGAAAACAGAGGGTTAGTTTGTGGACGGGATTAGACATTAGACACTGACAATTGACGACAGAAAACAGAGGGTTAGTTTGTGGACGGGATTAGACATTAGACACTGACAATTGACGACAGAAAACAGAGGGTTAGTTCGTGGACGGGATTAGACATTAGACACTGACAATTGACGACAGAAAACAGAGGGTTAGTTTGTGGACGGGATAAGACATTAGACACTGACGGTAGAACACAGTTGATTAGGTGGTGGACGTGAACTAGACGATTGGTTTGTACGTTAGAATACAAACAATTAGTTGGTGAACGGAGACGAGATATAAGACACTGGCGGTAGAATACATTGTTATAGTGGATTGGAAGTAGACCTTGACGGGACACCACAAACGGTCAGTGGATGGTAATTAGCGAATACGAACGTTTATTAGTCTGGAGTGAAACAGATTGAGAGTAAACAAGGGTGACGAACTGGCACCAACGATGGGAAGGTGTCCTGGTTATCTGGGTTTAGTTTTGAATATCGGCAATTAGTGATTGATTATTAGACACAGAATAACGTTTAAACAAATATTTTACCAAGACCCTTTCAATTCTATTTAACATTTTCTTCCTTTCTAGATATCTTAAAACGACAACTTGAGTTAACTCGCAGGTGTTCCCAGACTTCTCAAAGTCACACACCAACCGTCCCGAGAGGGGCAGCTCTTTGTGAACTGTACACGATTGCACCGTCTATAGGAGGCGGTGGTTGCGGTGGGGGAGGGGTTAACTCACAGGTGTTTGCTGCCCTTGTCGATGACGGGAGGGGAGGGGACCGCCTGCCGCCGCTGTCTGTTCAGCTCGGCCACCACGGCAGACATGGTGTCGTTGTCTGCCGACCGCTTAGCGCGCGGGAAGGGCTGAAAATACACATGCAGGGGTGTTACACATTGAAGAGAACGTCATCAAGGGAGCAATAAATTGATTTTATATCTCGTGTTCAAACTTCAAAGTATACTGACGTTAATTAAACTTTTTCAACGAGTCTGTGATACAAATTTTAGATAGCTGAAGTAAACGTGTGACTATCATTTGCTGATGTGAAATAATTATTTTCATATTGATCAATAAAATAGATAAGACAAAATATTCGAAATTTTAACGTAAGATAGTGTGAATTGTCAACAAAGTCATCAATATCTCAATAAAAGTATGCATAGGACATTCGCGAAATTCAGGACATTATTCCATGAAATCAAAGCCCACCCCTCCTTCCCCCGCCCGGTATTGCTATATGCAGCATCTTCACTCGAGCACGCTATATGCAATATTGCAAGGTCCCATAAGGCACGCAGCGAGCTGATATGCATTCTAGGTATGCAGTATTGTGCAATGTTCAGTTGCGCACGCCGCTGCTGCCTCTGGGCCTTTTCTCACGCAGCATATGGCACACGACTGCCGCAGGACTTTGCAGTAGAGCAGTCTTGCTGATCGAAGCGGCAGAGGACGTTCCTCAATGGCACAGACGATGGCAGAGCCACCTGGCGGCGCTATTTTCACAGATGGCAGCACAGTCGCGCAGCAGGCACTGCCTCGGAGTTTGGAGAGCTGGACCTTCTTGGAGATTCCGGGAGCCAGGAAGTGAACCATATGCACGGTGTTATATTCAAAATGCGCTATAGTGCAAAGGTTTATGGGAAGAAATAATGTACAAGAAGCGAAGTGTGGTGTTTTTTTCGATGTCCTACGTTAGCGTGAAACTAATCAATCACTAACTTTATAACTACTCATCCTAGTATGACCTCCCGTCTTTCCATCCTCCTTCCATCCCAAAGGACAGGGCCTGGTCGGCTTGTCCTTTGGGACGGGCTCCGTCCCAGTGACTTACTAGGGTGCCTGCCCAGATCAATGCATCCCGCTAATTCCTATCATCCTTCCGGCTCTGAAATGGTCTTGTCAGACCGAAAGGGCCCAACAAAACAAACAAACAAACAAACAAACAAACAAACAAACAAACAAACCTAGTATGACCTCCCGTTTTCATTCACATCTGCTAGTGACGCAAGATGACTTACCTAAGTCCAACGACTTGACGACTCGAATGCGACGCTTATTATGTTACCTACTTAATCGACAAATTAATACTAATATTACTTAAGCCTTTTATGCACAGTTTAACTCGCACAGATCAAACGAATTCGTTTACTATATTATTGGATAACTAAAACAGCTTCGACGCCATCTTATACCTGAAACGGAGCTCCGTAGACTGATCAAAAAGGAAAATATCAAATGCCTCACATTTAGGGCGGCCTGTGGGCAGTTTTGAGTTAGTTCTATCCATCATACAAATACGGGAGTTAGTGAACGATTTGGAAGCGCACGGTTAAAATGTGAATTCCAGCGTGCATGCACCCAACATCGGAGCCAGCTTGTAAAACAGGTATCTATCGTGAAATTATATGCGCATTCTTACTTTTGAATAATCTTTCGTTATCGATTTATCGATGATCCTTTTTGTTTCACTTGATAAGTGACTGCTGAGGAAAAAATCGCAACGACTTTCATTGTAATATTAATGCTGAATAAAAAGTAAATATTAAAATAAAGCAGTACTCTTTCATGAAGCCTTGCAATTGGGCATTGGCTACGATAAATAATTTTGTCCCTTTCTTGACAATTTTTAGTGTACGTACAAATTTTATGGCTTTTAAAGTTTGATTGTTCAGTGGAAGAGGTGATACTTTTATACTTAAGTGCAAATTGATGTTTCTTTAACTCAACGAAATATGAAAAATCACAACGTTGTTTTTGTGGCATCCCAAGAGCAATGTCACTGCCAATATGCTAAACAGTTTATCTACGGTTCATCTTTAGCGACTTTTATGTTTGAACACCGCATTTATTGCAGCTGAGAAACTTTAGTTGTTAAACTTAGGTATAGTCGAGAAACTTTAGGTGACGTTCCCTGATGACAAAAGAATCTTTATTGAGAAGCAGCTGGTCCGATTTTTGGGCAGTGTCAGGGCGCAGCGTATCAGTATGCGCTTCCCTTGCCGCTCACGTGTCGACGCACGTGGCACGTGGCACGTGTGCCCCTCACCTGTTCGTGCGCGTGGTCAGGCACGTGATTGGCCGGCGTGACCGGTAACTTATGTTTCGCCTGCCGATTCACAGATGGCGCCAACACCGAGCAGCCCTTCACCTTTAGAGCCACATACGGTCCGCCAGTTCTGATTGGCGGAGCCGGCCTGGCGGTCGTCGCCGTAGCGACGCTGATTGGCTCGGTGGGCTTGACGTCAGCCGGCGCCGGTACCTGATTGGCTGGTGGGCGGGGCTCGGCCGGGAAGCTGTGCCGCAGGTGCCGAGGTCTGGCCCGGGCCGAGCGGGCCGACCACGCCGATGGTGCGGTATCCGCCAGAGCGTCGGTCAGGCGTCTCGACACCTCGCGTCCTGCTCCACGACGACGCGGTTTGCGGCGGGGGTCAGCGAATCCGCGGGGCTCCGGGAAGCCGCGTCGGTCACCGAGAAAATCCTGCCTCGAGTCAAACGGCGGCCTTCGACCGCCTAGACGTGGCGAATCCACAAAGCCGCCACCTCCTCTACCAGTTGGCGCACTGGGGCCAGTCTCGTCAAAGTACGGCGGCAGGTCGGGCTCTGTGCTGACCTCTACGGACTTGGTGAAGTTATCTGCTGTTCCAGATGGTCCCGTGATGTCCGTTGCGTTTAGCGCAGCAGTTTCAGTCGAGTTGGTACTGTTTCCACCACTACCAGCTGCATCCACGGCTGGGGTAGCCCCCTTGGCATCAACGTTGACGAAGTTCTCCTCCACCTCCTCTTTCTCAGGTGCAGACTCTGCACTTTCTGCAGTCTGCCAGAAGTCTGCCGGCCCGGTGGTGCCTTGGAGATATTTGTCTCCCGACGTTCGCCGGCTCGTCGATGTTCTTTCCGTTCCTCTTGGCGTGGGAGGTGTCTCCACTACCATTTCAGGAGGCGGGTCCCTCCCAGGTCCTCTGCCTCCTCGTTTTGGGTCTCCCCTCCCTCCTCGTTTTGGGTCTCCCCTCCCTCCTCGGGAAGGGTCTCCCCTTCCTCCCCGGTTTGGGTCTCCCCTTCCTCCCCGTGCGGGATCACCCCTCCCTCCCCGTGTGGGATCTCCCCTCCCTCCCCTTGTCGGATCACCCCTCCCGCCAGACGTCCCGCCATCTCGTCCCACCCTCCTTAACTCCCCGCGACTTCCTCCAGTGGTGCCGCTGGGACCCGTCAGCGGCAAATCAGCCGCCTCCAGAGCAGTCAGACCCTCCCCAGTGAACCCCGTGTCTAAGGGGTAGGGCTCAGTGGTAAAATCGACCGTCTCAAACGGTTCCATCTCGGGGAGAGTGGATACCTCGTTGCCAAGATCGGGTGGCGGTGGTGGGAATGTGCCAAACATTCTTCTGGTCAGAGCCTTGTTCTCGTTGATGAATGACTCGATGCGGTCCCTGAGGATGGAGAAAGGGGAGACTCAATGTGACGCATGAGGGGGAGGGAGAGGGATGGAGGGAGAGAAAGAGAGAAAAAGAGAAAGAAAAAAAAGTGAGTAAAAGAGAAACATAGACAGAGAGAAAGGGAGAATGAGGAAAATGAGACAAAGAGATGGACAGAGAAAGAAGAAAGAGAAAAAGGGAGAAAGACAGAATGCTAAGGAAAAAATCAGGGGATGCTTCTCCTTTGAAGTAAAGAAAATTAAACAATTTATCTTAATAAAATCACACAGCATTCTACATGGGAACAGAGGGAAAATGTTTCAAAAATATTATCTGGATAAAAACAGCCATGCATGTGCTCCATGTACTGAGCTTGCGCCCCACGGTCGACCCCGCAGGGGCCACATCGACCCCCGCACAGGCTCTACTCACGTGGGGTACTGGCTGCCGGCATTAGTACAGAAGAGCTGTCGCAGTCGTTTGATGCAGGGCAGACCTCGGATGACCTGGTCGGCCTGTACCTGGTAACCCAGCGCGATGTTGAGCGCTGTCCAGAAAATCTGAGAAAAGGACAGAGAGGGGGATGGGAGTTAGAGTGGTGTGATGAGATGGGTATATCGAATGACGAGAATTCGACATCGCTGGCGTACTGGGAGGTATGGAGATGGGATGTGGAAAGCTAGCACAGACAAGATCAAAAGAATAAGAGAAATCGCTAAACAAATACAAAAATACCTACTTTCACGACTTACAATACATTAAGATTCATATCATACAAATGCATATGGATACTCTGAAAAAGCGATAAGCGGGAGTTCTCAGCCCTCAGGTCCCAAATCACTGAAAGAAAAAGTGGAAAATAGCACTTTGCCATAAAGAAGCATAATGAATACGTCCCTCGTAAATCAAATAAGGCAAGAAGTGTTAATGGTTTATTGTAATGCCAATTTTTTTGTGTTTAGCATGAATTGTGCATCGCATGTGTACCGTTTTTATACATCAAAACCCAATATGTCTCTGCTCTTTGCACCGTTACACTATATTGTCGCATTCGGTGCACGAAAACGCTCGCTATTACAGCCATTAATGTCACAGCAAAATGATTCATGTCATGAAATTAGTTAAATACATTGCTTGCCACGTTCAAGTTCCGGCTTTGCAACCACCATCACAAATAAATGGAAAGTCGAAAAAAAGAATATGTTTGCCTGTTCGTGGGCATCCAGCTCAGTTAAACAAATATTTCATTTCACTTTGGTTTGAATGGTTGCTGGGACTTTTTGTTACAATATTAATGCATATGTTTTCTTTGTAATGATATGGAACAGATCCTCTAACGAATCTTTTTTCCAGATTCTCACATTTGAATTAAAAAAAAAAACATTCATATGTAGTGACAAATTCATTAAAACATATTGATGATTTTTATGAGTATCTTTATTTTAAAGTTCGCTCCAGAGTTTCATCCAAGCCTCAGCGACTGTCTTCACGGATATCACGGAAGCCGGTCGCCCTTCTCAGAGACAGCCGCCATTGGCAACATATCGCCGTCATTAGTTGCCATCTGGCCGGGTCATATATTCTGAATACCGGCACATTAGAGGGGCCGGTCTATTTAGACTGGGTATATTTTATGCGATAACATCGGCCGCGGGAAGTACGGTCAATAAATGTTGCTACACTACAACGGATTATGTTGCGGTGCATTGGGAGGGCAGTTCATTTCAAGGTCGATGGTCAGAGACCGCCCTCGTAACTATGGATAGATCGTCTCGTAACTGTTCGTAACTATGGTAAAGTCGCGTCGTAACTGTTGTTCTGGTAAGTATGGGCAGACGGCAAGTACAGGCAAAGGTACTCTTGTGACTGTTGAGCATGGACAGAGCTTGGTCTCAGGTGGTTTAAAGTTTAAACAGCGATAAATATACGGTGATTTGGGTTGCTATCGTAGCATTGTAGGCATATCATGTCTGTGATTGTTGCTATCAAGATAGGCATGTTACAGCATGAGCTGATTTCCTAACTCCACTGTAATTAGGCTCATTTTGAGGTAGCATTACAGGCTAGATACGTGGGAAAATATTAGCAGACAAGTACATCAGGGAAATGGAACTATAAACAACGTTAGACACGAGTCATTAGAGTCTGTAACTTTGGGAGGCGGAGCATGAAACTTCGATTTAATTTTGCATCTAAGTGCAGGCCAGAAAAATGATGTTGATGTTCTTTGTTGACAATAGTGAATTTCTTTTGAACATTGCGTATAATCTTTTATTTTTTTATCCCCTCACAAATCACAATGCTGAGAAAACCATATGTACCAGTCATTCGAACCCTGACAGAACCCTGTTATGTTAAAAATCGATAAACGATGTTCTGTACTTATATCGTTCCGGAAAGACCATCAACCTTGGTGCCAAAATAACAAATCAACCATTAATGTAATACCAATCATAACTAGTTGAAAAAGTTTAATAACTGTTGCCGTTCCGAAGCCTATATTTACCGCTATGTTGATATCGGCCGGGTTCATGATGGCTGGTCTGTGCCCTGGAACGGATGGGTCCTTTTCTCACTGATCGCCGGTCGCTCGACCTGACCCTGTCTGCTGGGCCAATAAGATGAATCACAACGCTTGTGCAGGCTTGTGGCAAGCCTCAGACCAGTTGGAGAAAGGACAAATCACTGCAGCTCGTGTCCTGATGTGTGCTTCCGAGGGACAGAAGATGCCACGATATCACCACGATAGTTCAAGATTCCAAAAGACCCGAAGAGGATACGACACTTTTATGTTTCCGAAAGCTAAGTTTAGCACGAAATCACACTGTTTATTGAGTCGGCCGGACCGGGTAGCCCCACTCTGTCTCCACTATTGCACTCTCCCCACCGGAGCGACAGCTCCACACCTCTTCCCCCACCGCGCCGGACCAGACTGGTTGGGCCCCACCGGCCGGCCGACCGTGGCGCTTAGGGGCCGTTCACACGGAGTCACCTCCGCCGGAAGGAAAGGCGTGTTCACACGAGTCCGCCGAGCCGTCGGCAGACTAAGAGGTCTCTGGCAGCGGAACTCATACATCAGGCCCCGCCCGTGGAATTTGCAAGGTGAGACGAGCAGCCATGAGACTTCCTTGTGCAATTTCGTGGTACTGATGCGATGTTGCTAGCGACGGCTATCATTAAAGATCGTAGGAATTTGGCGTGATTTGTAGACGGCTCACATTCTCCCAGCTGCACATAATTAATGCGATACAAATAAATAAATAAATAAATAAATAAATAAATAAATAAATAAATAAATACGGATTTATGGACTTGCCATAATGAACGCCACAACCCCAGAGCAACGTCTGTCTTCCGAAATCTTCCCACGAGTGAGGGGCTCGCAGTTGATAAGTTCATGACATCAGGCCCCGCCCTCTGGCTGCTGCTGGCGTCACAAGGTCAAAGGTCAGTCGCCGGCCCGGCTGGTCAGGGCTCCAATCACCGTCAGCTTTTGAATATTCTTAGCCCAGAGGGGAACGATGCATCACTCTGCAGAACGTTTATAAACCTTGGAATGCTTGCAGTATGTAAATCAAGGACTCGTTTCAAGTAGTGTCTCCGGAAGGTATTTTGGTGATCAACGAACAGAACAAAACCATTGACGTAAAAGTGGTATCGAAGTGACGTCATTGAAGTTTATTTCAAGGTCATGCGTGCGGGAAGTGACTTATTGTGGGGAAAATGACTCTTTATGCGAGCTCTGGCGAACTCATCTGGGATTGGCACGGTACGACCTTTTATAAAATGCTCATCGGCTCACCATTGCTCATCGGTTTTCTACAGAGATTCGCGTAAGTTTCCAACAGCCCATCACACACTTCAACTGATGGAGGTTGTTTTTTTTCTATCGTTTTCTCATGTAAGGGTGAAAAACTAATCCTTATAATCCGTCATAACTAGATTGTCAAAATATAAAATTAGAAGTAAGCGATTTGGCGACCGTTTCGAATGACGCCAAAACCATAGTCTGATTTTTTTTTTACATTCATCTTTCAGCAATATCGTTAAATTCACTTGTTTATAACAACACCGATTTTATCTAATTGGCAACTTTATCATTTGTGCCAACTTGTAATAGCTTAATTAGGTTGATAGCCCCTCCTCAAAACAAGCCAACAGTGTGTTTATGTGATGGTTTGTTGTCGAATTTATTTATACGATGATGTTTTATTACCAAAGCAAAGCTGCTTCTTTGTCCCTTGGCTTTGTTATATTTCATTGTTATCTTTATGTACATTTTTCATGGTCGTCGTTAATTTCAATTGTAATTGATTAATGATTATCATGTTAATTCGCAAACATAAATCTTTTATTCCTATTCTCTGAGTTCGATGTTTTGCTATTTACAAGTTGACTTCATTCTTACCTTTGTTTGTTTGGACCACTCTTTGCCTAGATTTAATCATCAAATAAACAAGAACAATGCGGGGAAAAGTGGAGAACAATACGTCATGGTCACGTCTTATGAACGGGCTGAGGCGACAGTCCAGCTTCTGGGAGAATTTCTGCGGTGTATTGGCACTTCCTGTGTGGCCTTGGCAACTGACTGCTGATGTCGGGAAAAGCTGTCGGGAAAAGCTGTCGGGAAAGCTGTCGGGAAAAGCTGTCGGGAAAGCTGTCGGGAAAGCTGTCGGGAAAAGCTGTCGGGAAAAGCTGTCGGAGCTGTTGGATCAGCAGCTGATGGGGGACTGTCAGACTGCAGACACATGTGGAAGCTGCCGTAAATGTCGAGAAAAATGACGGGGTAACTCATTCACTTTACTGCGCAAGTGTTGAATAGGTGCAGGAATCTGTGTCCATAAGACAAATCTAGCCCGGGATGCTGTAAGGGTCGAACGGCACAGGGTCTTGAGTTTAGTTTTTTTTTTTTAGTTTAGGCCCTTTCGGTCTGGCGAGACCATTTCATGGCAGGAATGATGATAGAAGTTATGGGGAGACATCGGTCTGGGCAGGCACCCTAGTGAACGGGGCTGAGCCCATCGACCAGCCCCCAAGTACTTACTGAACCCGGCTACGGGCGTGCTCCCTTAGGAGCTGCGGTGCCGCTCCAAGGGAGCAGCCCGCATGAGATAAAGTTGCCTGTCCAGCCCGGAGAATGGGTGGCGGCGTGGAGGAGAAGGATTTGAATGTCCTGAGGATGGAAACGACGGGCAGGGCTGTGGAGTCGCAGTCGGAGTCGGAGTCGGAGTCGGAGTCGATTTTAGAAACCCGAGCCGGAGTCGGAGTCGGAGTCACCGAAAATCTGTCGACTCGCCAGCCTGCTAGGTCTGCGGAGTCGGAGTCGGGAGTTGGAGTCGGTCGGAGTCGACAATTCTGCCCGGAGTCGGAGTCGGAGTCGGAGTCGCCGAAAATCCATCGACTCCGCAGCCCTGAGTCGACGGGAACGGTGTTTAGGAATGGTAATTCAGTCTCCTAACTCTGGGATGAGTTGTTCATCGATCGGGATTGAGTCTTGACGTAGGTATAGGTATATACAATTTTATTCCCACCATAAAGCATTTTCATCAAACCACACCGAACCAAGGAAGGATGCCGGTTAGCATATCTAAAGACTCGCGTCTCAGCCAGATATCTTACCGGGACCTGGACTACGGTGTTGTTCTTCAGCGTCTGATACGAGTAGAGCGGCACCACAGAATCGCCCCCATCCTTGGTCACAATCGGTCCTCGCTGGGCGGGCTGTTGTTTCCTCCGTCTGCCGCTAGGACGCGCCACCGTGCGCTCGCCGAAGCGCGGCTGGTTCGCGGTTTGTCCGCGGGGCGGCGCTGCCGGCGGCGACTGGATGAAGTTGTGGACCTGAGCTTGCGGCAGGCTGGCGCTTGGGTACTGGTCGTTGGCGAATGCGGGGTTGTTGTAGGGGTAGGGTTGGTACTGGCCCGCTGAACTGGCAAAGTCGCCCAGTTGGCTGTACTGGACGGCACTGCCCGCCATGGCTTCTTTCCGAGGCTTCGGTGGGGTTCACTGAACTGGCCTGCTTGAGAATTTGCCGTTTGTGATTTTATTGGCTAAACTGGTAGCGTTGACGAGGTCTTGTGTTGTCGGTTGATCGAGTAGTAGTCCTGAGAGGCTAAGCAATCAAGACCAGACCAGACCAGACCAGACTGAGCTGACCAGGCCAGACCAGACAAGACTAGACCAGACCAGACCAGACTGACCTGACCAGTCAGACTAGACCAGACCAGACCAGACGAGAACAGACCAGACTAGACAGTACTAGACTAGATGGTCAACTTCATTAAGTTCTTGTCATATGTCAGGTTCAGGTCATAGCAATAGTCATAGTCATGTTGTAGCTAGTAAGCTTAGCGTAGAACCGTCTGAGGGTCGCCAATGCTACCACCAAGGTGAGATAAATCTAAAGATAAGGCTATTCATGGATAGATTCTGGTAGGGACCGAACTTGAACGAGTGTTCAACATCAATTGATTTTTAATCCGCAGACGTTCGAGACTCGATTGATGTCAAAAATAGATTTGCCTTATATCCTGTCACAGATATATTCCTGCCTCAATGCGTCTCCCACGCTCACCCCTCCCCCACTGTTTCTTAGCTGAAGGTAACGAGAAGTCCGTGACGTGCACGAACTTCCTTCAACAGTTAATTTACCGGCTCTTCACTGGAGGTGCATGCATTGGCAAGTGTAAAGCAATCCATGTCATCTTATCACTGTCTTCACCTGGCAATATCATGCGTCACTGCCTTTTACTTTGTGATTGAGACCCTCGCGCATGGACTACCAAACCTAGCTTCCTCTAAAAAATACCATACCGTCTATGCATTTTTCTTTGCCCACAGCCTTGCGCATGGGTCTTCCCCAATAAATATAATCCATGGCACTGCCTAATGCCTTGTTATTCACACCCTTGCGCATGGACCATCAGGCCTAGCACAAGCACGTCTCAATGACCCCTCCGGTGTGGGGTCGAGACCACTAAATCACAGTGCAACACGCCGAGCTCGTTTCGTTCATAGGTCGCTGCTCCCAAACTGACTCACTGCCACCGGCAAATCGTGAGAGTCGCGGTCGTTGTGCAACTGGGGGTCAATAGATGGAGGTGCGGGAGCGTGCTATGGCATCAGCGCCATCACTCACGTTTGGGTTTTATGGGTTTAATTTATTTGGATTTTTTATCTGACTGATTTTCTTGGACTTATTTCTGAGTTGACCAGCCTGATTGATCGCTGATATTTCGTTGCCAAAAGGCTTATGAAGAACTGAAGACCAAGGATAATGAAGGTAAATAAGTAAACTAACTATTCTTTTCTTCATGTTACCTTAACCCTCGCCCTGGCAGGGGGGGGGGGTCGATGCGACCCCCCCTAAGGTTTTTCGAAGATAGCGTTAAAACGGCGGCGCGCAGCGCCGCCAAATTTGGCACAGCCTATGGGGCAACCTTTTTACATGTGACCTGAAAATTTCAGGTCCGGGTGACCTTGGGTCAGGTCACCAGGTCAGAAAAACCGGTACAAGGTCATGGTCAAATTTCAATTTTCTTTTTGCACCTGTCCAACTCACAGTTTTGGACTGAATTCCTTCAAACTTTCAGGATGTGCTAAGTTCACCGAGTTGTATAACATATAGTTCGGGTTTTTTGAGGTCACTGACCTGAGGTCAGTTAGAGGTCATTACGTCGTAATGTTAAGCCTATGGGAAAATACTAAATTCGGAAAATACTTGAGATATCCGCTTCGTTCTATCACTTTTGTGCTTTGAAACCACAGTGCTTAACAGCAGGTCACTTGGTGCTTCTTTGTTTGGTGTACTTATCCATGGGTCAGGTCAAATGAGGTCAACTGAGGTCAAATGACGTTTTTGCCAATAACTTGGCACATAATGACGCTAGAGCTTAAAAAATGGTATCATTGTGTTCCTGGTGATCAGCCGAATTGAATGATGTGCGATATGATGCAATTTGGTTAACTTGAACTTAATTTATTAATTTAAGTTTACTTAAAATTTAAGAAAAACTTTAAGTACACTTAAGCAAGTTAAAAAGTATATCATTCGACGCGCCTTGACGTTCTGAGTTCACTGGTGCTTTTCTTTTTGCTCTATCTTAATTAGATCAAAAGTTATAAGCAAAAAACTTTTGACCTGTTTTTAGCGAAATTTTCACATTTATACCCCCCAAAACCCCCCTAAATATTGACCTAGAGCAACCAAATTTGCACAGGGGCGAGAACTCCAGGGGGCCCACCTACCTACCAAATTTGGTGTTTCTAGGTGCCATAGGAGCCAATCGCGAGGGGGGTCGCATCGACCCCCCTCGCATCGACCCCCCATCGACCCTGCCAGTCCGTGTTATGAAAAATGCCCTGCCAGGGCGAGGGTTAACCTGTCTTTCATTTCTGAAATGTTTTGTTTATCTGAAACTGCGTGAGGCTCTTGAACTTTTTGCAGCTGTGTACTACTACTATGCAAGGGACATTTTTTATGCAAATAAGACGAAATCAGTCTGAACTCGACTTGGCATGCATGCTAAATCACAAAACTTTCAATTCACCCGTTGTAGGTGCATGCTAGTGGGCTGCTCTTTCTACCAAGTGACCTGTTTCACAATAAAATGGCATATAGTTGTCCATCAGATAAACCAAATATTTGAAAGAACATATACCAAAACTTTCCTAAAACTTTTAGAATGCCTAGCACTACATACTTTGTTCTGACGGTAAATAAGTGCATTACATACCAACCCGCCACAATTCTTTTGGGCTGGACCATCAAGATACCATTGCAGAGGTATGTTATCCAAGATTGTAATTCCGGTTGTATCAGCATTGATCTATTGCACGCCTACCTCAAAAAGTCGTTTCCGTGAAATACAGCGGAGGCCATGTCTGGCAGGCACGACACTGCTGAACCCATTGAGTGAGGCATGCCGCAATGGGGGTCACTATCTTACGTTTATTCATATAGGGTTCTAATTTTTAATTTTTAGATGTCAAATCGTCATTTGTACCATGGAACGACATTGGGACAATGTGCCAATATTATTGGTAGGGCTTAAAGGTAGTGTGCCACCTTTGAAAGATTTCCCATTTTATTTTTCCTAGGATAAGAAGCTTCTGTTTTTACCTAATATCGCAAAAAAATCAAAAATGAGCCTGGAATAGTGCCTTTTTCGCCTAAAAGTTTATCGGTTTTTAGATATGTATAACAACTGTAGTGGGCTCACCTGCAAACAGGCGTCGGCAACAATCGCGAATGCGGCGCACATGTGACAATAAGCAAAGGTCATTATAGTGTTACGACCATACGACGTACGGGAATGAGCTATCAGCTGTCTAATCGTAGACAACACAATGTCGAGCCTTAAACTGTAAGCCTGTATTGGTATTGTTTCTTTTATTTGGCTGTGGAACATTATTTATGGTTTGAAATATGATTTTATGTAAAATAATTGATATGAAAAAGCCGTCTCATAAGTTATGACCCCATTTCACCACACGCAAGTGGCAGAAATGACAATGATCAGCTGACGCATTTTTCTTGGCCGAAGTCAGAGCGCGCGGCCCGACGCACCACCACCGCACCACAAAGTATGAGCAGAAGCCGCGCCCAAAGCCAGGGCCCCGGTAACGCGAGGTAGCCGAGTCGGGGCAGCGTGCGGTGACCCAAGCCGGGGCCGCAGCTTTGGGCGCGGTCTACCGCATCCCCGCGGGCAGCCCCGGGCTATCACATGACACCGGGAGGACGCGCGGCTCCGGCTTGGGTCAGCGCACGCTGCCCTGACTCGGCTACCTCACGTTACCGGGGCCCTGGCTTTGGGCGCGGTCTACCGCACTACCTAACAGGCGTGTTCGAAACCGCAGGAGCTGATGATGAACGGGTTTATCGAAACTTGATTGGATGAGCATATCGGTAATAGCGATTTCAGTGTGTGCATTTATTGTTCATAGTGGTGTGAAATGTGGTTGGGGTACGACCGACAACCCGTCGGGGCGAATTTCGCACTGGGGTACTCAAAATTTGAAGAATTTAAGACGTTTCCATGAGTTTTGAAGGTATGGATAAGTTCTAAAAATCCGGTTCTCCTTATCTGGGCCATTAACTCCATACGGTCCAGGAAAGCTGGCACACTACCTTTAAGCCACACCAGGCCTAAATAAGACGATACCCATGGATTGCGATTATTGCCAGACCTATATAGAACAACACCCAATCATGCCACTATATATCCAGTAGACTACTCGGGCAATACTAAATGGCCACTAAATCATGTCACCATATGTCTAGTAGACTAAGTCTACTATACATTCAGTAGTGCCGGGTATACCCGGCACTAATGAATCCTCTAAGTCATGTCACTATATATCCGGTAGACCACTCGGCACCACCGGACGTGAATGACACGCCGCCGCCGCCGAGGTGTCACGGTTAAGTCACGCTAAAGTCACGGTTAAGTCACGCCAGGGGCTGTCACGGCCGGGTGGGCCGGCCATGTCAGGGGTGGGAACCGCCCGGGGCTCTTAGCGCGGTAATGGTACCGGGACGCGCCCGCGGCGCTAGTGGCATTCAGGGCCTGGTAAGGATCGTTGAAAGATCCTTGGGGAACTAGCTGGTGATGGTCCCCAGTGGATTTTGGTTTCCTTCGCGGTTACACTGTCAAACATATTTACAAACTTCCGTGTTATCCTGACAAATCTGACTAACCCAAAGGGCGTCGAATTAACATTTAGACGTTTTGTGTTAGTGAGATGTCAATTCAACACGCTTTAGTTTGGGTTAGTGAGATCTGCCAGGATAACACGGAAGTTAGTAAATATTTTTACAGTGTAGAGGCCCTGGTCGTCGCATGTTACTCTTGAAGAGCTAACAAGTCAAGTCTGACATAGCTGTAAGGCCAATGTGTGCACAACCACCAATTGAGTACAAATTACTCGAATAATTTGTTTCTGATACAAAATAGGAAAGTGATTAGCTGGAATCTGCCTTAGTCGCCAAGTCACTAGAGCGTATTTCACTACTAAAACGCTTCTCATGATACCGCAGGCAGTAGCGTAAAAGGGGCAGGTGAGAGGGGGGGGGGGGGCGCACCGTCCGGCCGGACCTTACCAACGCTTATATGTCGTGATTTGCATTTGTGGCTGACTCAGGGCCACCTTTTATACCGACCAGGGCTAGCGTGGCTGGCGTGGTCACCGCTGGAATCCGGTCCAGTTTGGTCCCGTTTGGTCAGAGCACGTGCGAAGTGGTCAGGAAAGCAGTATAGGTATGGCGGCAAGTGGTGGTATCCTAGTTATAGACCCGAAGTGATCGACGGTGAGTGTCGAGTGATGGATCAGTGACTAGTGCATGTAGTCTGGTGGTCTCTCATTGGTCACTCTATGGCCGTCCAGTGACCATCAGGTGACCGTCTAAAGACGCACAGTAAGCAGTAACCATCGTCCAATGGTCGCAGGGAAGAACCAAACCTAATGGGTCTCCCACTTTTTTCCTGCTATACATAGTAATGCCAGAATCGATGACAAACGAAAATAAGATGTGGCTTATTTTCACGTTGATTCACATTGACTGGGTATCGGAAAAATTTTCGCCGGTGTGGTTGATAAAAAAGATTCCAAGTAAACTTTAAAAGTCTTGTTCATGTTCGAAAGAGAAGCGCCGTTTACTTGAACGTCATACATCGACCACTACCAGTCGACCACTCATTTGGCGAATGGTGAATTCCTATCAGTAATCTAGGTCGATGATAGATGCCAGGTCAAGGGCAGATTAATCGTAGACATCACGGCAGTCTGCATCTAGGAACATGGTGAACCAGATTTGTCTTTAGAACACGTGGGTGGTCTAATGTGTTCATTGTTGAAAGTTTTGAGATAATTTGGTAAGGATATATGAATAATTTGTGCCTCGAATCATCAGCTGAGAAACTCTGTACGCTCTGACTACTCTGTACAAACTCTGTACAAGTCCGGCTACACTACGCAGCGATTTGAGGTTTTTCAGTTGTTGTTATAGCTAAAAGAAGTACCTATATGTAACGTTTACCAAGAATTGGAGGCACTGAAGCCAAAGAAATACAAACGGTTGCCATTAAGATTGGATTTAAATGAATCAAGGCTTCGGAAATAATGCCCCTGCTGTGCTTCCACTTAATAGCTGTTACGGATATTACTCAACAGAGCTGCGTAATGGTTCACGCTACATGTAATGGTATCGGAGCACGCAGAAAATTAACAAGCTGGTTCGTGAAGAACTTCCGACCTAGTTCCCATCGCTGAGAAAATAGCATCCTTGCTCCAGTCTTAACCAACGCTAACTTTGTTAGAGCTTACACTACACTAGTTAGAGCTTACTTACACAGGGCCTACACTAGTCAGCGATACAAATGAAATAAGGCGCTTAAGCATTGCTTAGGTTTGGGACGAATTTGGTAGAGAAATGTAGATGCAGTTAAAGCAAATTTTAGTAGACTGCCGTGTAACATAATAAAACATGCATAATCTTTACGTGAGTACATGCTAGATGAGTCTGTTGTATAACAGCTCCGGTCAGGTTAGGTCAGGTCAAGTCAGGTCAGGTCGTCAAGGCTATCCCCCAAATCATCTCGGTCTGGCCTGGTCTCTAGAAGTGCTGGCACGATTCACAGTCCTCCTCTTTTGACCCCACTTCCTGCAGAACACTTTTCCACTTTCACTCTCACTCAGAGTTCCAACTCACACTCTCACCTCACTCACACTCCACTCCTTCTCACTCTTAACTCGGCACACCACCTGCTCCTCACGCGTCCTTCGCCGGCAGTTCTTCAATCACTGCAGGTCACTGCGGGTCACCACAGATCACCACAGGTCACTGCGGGTCACTGCAGGTCAGCGCAGGTCATTGGATCGGCGACAGGGCGCGTGTGGCCGGCTGTGGCATCAGCGAGCGACTGGCCACATACCCACGCCGCTGGGACTTCCAGGCCGGCTGCCTGCGAGTCGGTCTGGCCGCCAGACGACGTGAGGCAAGGCGAGCGTACTTCGGTGAAGGTTAGCTACGACCACGCCCCGCCGCAGTGCCGGGCGGGCGGTGGGCTGTCTTAGAACGCGTCCCCCGCGTTCCCCTACGGCCCAACAGGCTCTAGGGTTACCCCTGTGACGTATAAGAAGAGTCGTATTCGCCAGAATGACAACCGGAAATGTTATGGTGGTGGGCGGGGACGATAGAGGGAAGTGGTTGACTCAGAGAGTCGGGGCATACCCGGGAGGTGGGGAAGCCGGAACAGCGATAGAGGTTGAGGGGAGGGGCGCGCCAGCATGGGGAGGGACATATCCGGTTTTGGTGGGAAGGTAGGGGATTCCCCGGAGAGGGTGAGGGAAAGAGAGTCCTGTGTAAGGGGAGGAGGAAACTCCACCGGAAAATAACACCGGAAGTGGAGGAGGGATCTTTGAAGAGCGAAGTTTGAAGCTAGGGTAACGCTAAATATGGCGAGACTGAGGAGAGAAATGAGAAAATGGGCTAGAACAGGAGTGGATTTTTCTTCTATCTGTGCTTTGCCGGCAGTGATTACGGAGCGAGCGAAGCGAGCGTAGTCTTTCCTTAGATTAACGGAAATTTCTGAGTATGAGCGGCCGGCCGGCCGGCCGGCCGTGGTCACGCTTTTGCGAGGCTTATATCTCAGCAACCACTTGACCGATTTACATGCGGTAAATTTTGTAGGGTAGCTTCATTCCTTCTACCAAGTATTGGACTATTCCCGATGCATGTGGGTGACCCCTTATGCACGTGCCACGTGCAAAACGAAGAGGTGTCAGTTTTGTAATTGTTGCAATATCTCGGTAATTACTAGGCCGATTGCGCTGAAAGTTGGCATGTGGGTAGGCACCCACTAGGCACTGCATATACATGTGCCAGAGTTGGGGTGCTGCTGCACGTGCGCACGTGCAGGGGTCGTTTCCAGATCTCGGGAACGGAAGGACCGATTGCGCTCAAATTTGGTACACGGTTAGGGACCGGTTAGTAGGGTGCCGTGCACAAGTCAGTTGGGACCCATTTTGCACGTGCGCACGTGCAGGGTGCCGCTTCCAGATCTCGAGAACGGCTGGGCCGATTGTGCCCAAATTTGGCACATCGCTAGAGACCAGTTAGTAGGGTGCCGTGCACAAGTCAGTTGGAGGTACCCCCTCGCAATTTCGCACGTGCAAGGCCCACCCTCTCGCTCGCTCCGTTAGTCGCCCTAAAAGGCGTTATACTGGTTTAAATTGCGGTGTCAGTGGCATACAGACCGAATCTCACTAAAGGCTACTTACAAAAATCAACAGTTACTTCGTTTGGGGGCTACAACCTTCCTTCCCAATTGGCGGTGCACCCAAACGAAGGAAGGTCACCATTTTTCTTCAAATCAACAATCAATTTTTGTTAGCCATTTAACGTGAATACGGTGGTCTCGAGAGGTTCCCGTGACAGGATAGTTACGGAGCGAGCGAAGCGAGCGGAGTCTTTCCTTAGATGGTTGGCTTTTCGTTGCTCCATCTTGGAAAGGTGATTTCTGGGGTGTTAACTTACGCTGAAGATTGTGATGTAGATCTTCTTGTAGCGCGTTTCATTTTGTGTCAGAGGCCGCAAGCCTAAAATAGCCTCTATTTGAATTATCGTGTAATTTGGATTTATATTAAGTCATTTTTCAAGTAAAAAGTGGCTAAATTTTGCTTCAATCTCCCGGTAAACCGAACTTGATTTTTTCGACCAATGGCACGTGCTTTCTATTAATTGCACTGTCGCTGGGTATAGCCAAGCCAAACTGAGAGTCAAACCATGAGTATTATCATCAATGAGTTGCTCTGCTACATGCTTTGCAAGATTGACAGTGTACCTCTGGATGTGATCTCTAAGCTGGTGAGTGACAGCTTTACTGATGACGAGGTCGAGGCCGCTAAATGCCTACTATGCGATCATGTTGATGAAGGTCTGAGAATTGGTATTCGTCGTGGACAAAATAAGAAGATGTACATTGATGGGATTGCCAAAATGCTGCTCGAGTGTGACAGAGCTAGTCTTCCCAAGTTCGTCGCAATGGACCTGTCGAAGCTTCCTCCGATTGCTGTGGACTGCATCGACGTAAGCTCGCTGATGCGGAAACAGCAGCTGATGGAGGTTGAACTGTTTTCAATGAAAGAGATGATCCAAGATGTACTGAAAGCTACAGCGGATACGTCTAAGCGCGTTGAAGAGGTTGCAATGCATGTATCTGCTTCTCCTGGACAGGCTCGCGATCCGGCTGAGCACTCTTCGCACGTGATGAATGACAAGACGTATGCCGAAGTCGCTCAAGGTGCAGCCTCTCGCCCTCAGGGGGGGGGGGGGTGAATGGACAGTTGCGAACCGTTCGAAAAGAGGTACTCCCCCTGCTCGGAAACTGCAGCCTTCTGCTCCAGCAAGTGGCGCTACAGGTGGTGCCGTCGCTGGTCCTGAGGTGACGTCTAGTGTGAAGACCTCCCTTCCTGGTAAGTCTCCTGCTGTGATCGGGGCAAAGAAGGCGGGACCGATAAAGGCCGTGGCAGCGGTTCGGCGCTTCTCCATGTTCATGTCTCGGCTGCCACCGGGCACAGGCGTGGATTCTGTCACCTCTTACGTCCAGCAGCAGTCAGGTGCGGAATCGGTGACGGCAGAAAAGCTGCCGACACGCTTCGACAGCTACGAATCGTATCGCCTTGACCTGATCAACCCACCTGTAGACGTGAACTTACTTGACCCTGAACTGTGGGCTCATGGTCTTGTGATTCGGCGGTTCTTCCAGAAACGAAAAACTCTGAATCCTTCTACGGAGAGGGCACCAGTGCTTCGATCATAGACATGGTCTCTATCCTTGGGTCTGTACGTACGCTTTTCATTTTTATTTTTGTCATGTTGAAGATAAGTTCATATAACTGTAAATCGGCCAAACGTAATTTTGGTGGGATTCATAGTTTGTGTGAAAGTTCGGATATTGTTTTTCTTCAAGAGCATTGGCTCTTTCCGTCGGATCTGGCTACTCTCTGCAATATTCACGGTGATTTCACTTCTTTTGGTATTTCGTCGATTGACCCATCTGCCGGCTTAATCAGAGGTAGACCGTACGGTGGTGTAGCTGTATTATGGCGTAACTCTTTGGCCTCTCACGTGAAGCCAGTATGTTATGAGGATGACCGGATAGTCGGTTTGGAATATTCGTTTAGTGGTGTAAAAATTCTGTTTGTTGGTGTATACTTGCCTTACAACACAAACCTCAATTTCGACAGTTATGTTTTCTACCTAGGTAAGCTCAAAACGATCATCGATGAATTTGATTCCCAATACGTATGTGTGCTTGGTGACTTTAATGCAGATGTGGTCAAAGGCACTGAGTTCGGTAAAGAGCTTGAGTCGTTTTGTAATGATTCTCGCTTGGTGATAGCGGATATTCAGTACCTTCCCTCAAACACTGTGACACACATTAATGATGGCCATGAGGTGGAGACTTGGTTGGACCATATCGTTTGCACGAGGGGGTTTTATGCTCTTGTTGATAGCGTTACGATTGATCAATCTATTCTCAGTTCTGATCACTTCCCCATAGTGGCCAATATCGATACTCAATTGCGTGAAAATGTGTGTCATGTTTCTGACACTGAACAGAGGATGAGGTGGGTCGTAGACTGGGATTCGCTTAGTCCCGATGATATCTTAACTTACAGTTCTGCTGTGAATGACGGTCTGGCCCAGCTTACCGTTCCTACCGATCTCTTGCACTGTGATGAGTGTTCAGATACAAAGGAACACTTTGATCTCATTAATGCCTACTATGATGAAATAATTAGCTGTTTACAAAAAGCATCTGAGCTCACAATATCGAAATGCTTAGGATATAAGAAGAAACGTAATATTCCTGGATGGAACGAATATGTTAAAGACAGCCATGACTTACTCTGTGATGTTTATTCGTTGTGGGCTTTGATTGGCAAGCCCAGGGATGGGTACATTTACCTGCAATTACGTCTGGCGCGGTCACGATTTAAGTATGCTGTACGATTCTGTCTTCGGCATGAGAAAGAAATGAGGGCTAAGTCACTAGCAGATAAACTCGTTCAAAATCCTTACAGCTTGTCTGCTTTCTGGAAGGAGGTAAAGAAATTGAATAAGAGCCCTCCACTGTCTCATTCGATTGATGGTGTTTCGGGGTGTAAGAATATTGCTGACATGTGGAAGGATCATTTTTCAGACATTTTGAATAGCGTGGATAAGACGGATCGTAAAGAGTATGTCTTAGGGCAGTTTCAGGAGGAAACAAGTACATTCAATTGTTTCTCAGTCCCTGAGGTTCTGAATTCCATTCAGGAGCTTGCGTCTGGTCGCTCTAATGGAAATGATGGCCTCAGTGCTGAACATTTTAAACATGCTGGGGTCCCATGTGCCACACATTTGTCTTTGTGTTTGTCTATGATGGTGAGACATGGCTGCATACCGCATTCTTTTGCAAAAGTTGTGCTTACACCTATTGTTAAAGACAAAGCCGGAAAACTGTCTGAAAAGGATAATTATCGTCCAATTGCTATTGCCAGTGTGGGCTCTAAGATATTAGAAAGGGTTATTTTAAACCGTTGTTCTGAACAGCTCTCTACAGGCCATCACCAGTTTGGCTTTAAGGAGAACCATTCGACCGACTTGGCCATATATGCTCTAAAAGAGGTCACTGATTACTTTCTGCGAAACAGAAGTCCTGTATTTCTTTGTTTTCTTGACGCCCGCAAGGCATTTGATCGTGTAAACCACTGGACACTTTTTGCTAAGCTGTTAGAAAGGAAAATGGATATTCATCTGGTAAAATTGCTCTGTTCTTGGTACAAATCACAACAATTTCATGTGTTATGGGGCGATGAGCTTTCAGAGGGATTTACAGTGTCGAATGGCGTAAGACAGGGGGGCATTTTATCTCCTTTTTTGTTCAATGTGTATACCGATGATTTATCAATCCTTCTCGCACAATGTGGT